CAAAACTACGTTGCCACGTGGGGATACTATTGGCCAAGAGTGAAGACTCAGCGTGAGGAATGATACAACTTGATTATTGACAATACTTTGCATTTTCATTTTAATGCATTTTCCTGTCTGACTCTGATTAGAACTTAACCCTTAAGCATGTTACCATTAGATCTTGTGAGAAGGTTTCTATTCAGTTAATATTGCATAAAACAAGCCTTTTTTTTTGCATTCTAGAGATGCTAATGTCAACCTATGAACCTACACAAACCACTATGGAAATGACTGAATCCACTGCTATGGAAACGCCATCCACAACACCAACAACAACACCAACAACGACACCAACAACAATGCCAACAACAACGCCAACAACAACACCAACAACGAGACCAACAACGAGACCAACAACAATAGGCAGTGTGAGTGTACAGCTGGATGTCTCAGTTGATGTTATAAATGGAATTCTGCATGTTTATTCTTATTTCTTGCAAATTTCCAAACCTTTGTTTGAGATTAGTCCATCACAAGAACTCAACCAAGAGACCGGCCTAATTGGTTCACTAATTCACCTCTTTTTTTTCATGCCTGTGTAATGTAATTATTTCCACACTGTTGATGCTATGTAGCTTCAGTCAGTCAGGTAAATTCCATGACCATTGTTTTCAGTGTAGTCAACTATATCATTTAAATATGCATGTGTAGCTCCTGCACTTGAATCAAGGCTTTCTGTTAAATTGGTATCTTTGTGTGTTTGAAACACCACCAACATAATCAACCACCCACATCATGGTGGCAAAAATTGCTAAGTTGCTTTCACAAGGTAGTAACTAAAGGCATTCTAATCTCCAAGAACCCAGCCAAGCATTTTAGGCTTCGGGTGTGCTGTAGGGTCAGGGCTTTGGCAGGAGGTTCTCTGCTTAATACTTGCATATCATGAGTTTTCTGAGGCCAACAACTCTTTTGGATGTTTTGCTTGTTCTGGATTATTGAACATAGCATAGTACTGATCACACCATTAAGGTTCCAAGATCAGAAGAAGCAACGAGGAGTGCAGTAAAGGCCAATGCAAGTTTCAAATAGAGGGGTGGTGGAAGCTTTGCGTTCAGCAGCTGATTAACAAAGTCGTAGCTCAAGGAGAAGTAATGTGTAAGGTGGTTATGATTTCTGACACAACGATGCCACCGGGAAACTGGAGGAGCAGCACCTCCTATTCTGCCTTAGGACCCTACAGCCCAATGGCCTAAATGTGAATTTTACCAGGTTCAAAATCTCCCCACCCGTGGTATCCCATGACCAACCCTCCCTCTCACCCCCATCTTCTTGACGTGACATAACCTGTCCGTCTTCTCTCCCACCTATCCGCTCCTCCCACCTCACTGACCAATCCCCACTACTGCCTACCTGCACTCACCTATCACCATCCCACCTACCTTCCCCAGCCCCACCCCTCCTCTCTCTATTTATTTCTGAGCTGCCTTCCCCCTCCCCATTTCTGAAGAAGGGTCCCGACCCGAAACATCAACTTTCCTGCTCCTCTGATACTGCCTGGCCTGCTGTGTTCCTCCAGCTCTACACTGTGTTATCTCTGACTCCAGCATTGGCAGTTCTTACTAGCTCAAAGTTCTGTGACATACTTGTTTATACACTTCAAGTGCAATTTAGCAAAACTGCATAAGCTTTCTGTGATACTGAGTTGTAGTTAGTAAGGTTTCACACTTGCATGTGTGGATAAAATTCAGAGCTTGCTCATGAAAATTTCTATTTTGCTGCAAATATTTGTATCAAGCTGAGAGTGTTTTTAACTGCAGGGAAACAAATGTGCTGTGATCAACTGTGTTGGAAACGACTGCTACCAAAGCCAAAATCAGGGAGATATGTACTGTCCCGTCGGCAAGGATTACTGCAAGGTGAGGTCTATGTGAGAGGTTTACTGATACTGCATTATCTTAAAACTGACGTTAGTAGGAGGAAAATATTTAACAAATTTATATAGCATTCCTCTGTCTGTAATTTCAGTGATGATATTAACCAATTTAAAATAAACAGCTCGATCCTGCATTACAGTAGTAGGCATGGGGTCTTTCACATGCACAAAAAGTGACAGACTAGATGTTAAAACCCAATATAGAATCAGAATGACCTCACAGACATATTTCTCAAAACTACTGTACTGCACATTATTATCTCATGGTTATTTACCCTGGTACTCTCAAACAGAGTTCAGATTAGAAATAGGATTGAGAATGAAATCCAACTGTCATTTGGCTCCCAATCAGAAATCTATTTTCAATTACAAAGCTAATTTTCAATCAAATAGCTAATTTCACATTAATTCCTGTAGTTCCAATATTTTAAAGTCCTGCATGTGGAGGTTAATCAAATCAAATATTTGAAAATTCAGGCAATAGTCTACACAAAATTCATCAACATGTCAACTTTTGAAATTTTCACACCTATCTTCAGGACCTCCACAGCCTCTCTTCGCATTTAGGTCAGCAGATCTGTACTCCAATATGCTTCTCTTTCCGGTTCCATGTTTCTGAATTTAGGTCTTTGGTCACCTCCCCTAACTTTTCTTTTACTCCCTATTTGGTATCCCTATTCCCTCTGTAAAGTGTTTGAAGACATTTTATTTAATTTTATTTACATATGTATATGTGTCCTTCTCTTTTGCAGTTTTGTTGTCAGTACTTCAGCTTCGTAAACACAAGTGCACTTCTCCATCACAACAGGGAAGGAAAAAATGTGAACTTTTTAAAATGCTTTCTTACTTTCTCTCTCCTGCTGAAACCACATGAACTGTATTCCTCCCATGAGATCATATGAACATTCAAAAAAATGATGAGCAGAAAAACAAAAGCTGATCCATGATACCTGTAGCAATATGACTAAATTGTCTTTGTATCCTCTGTTGAAGGCATCCTGAGACTCATTCACCACAATAACAGTCAAAGTATTCCAGCAGTTCCGTATACCCAGAGAAATGGACACCATGCACAAAATCAGGTCTATTTCTCCTTTAGCATAGCTTAAATATGTGTCCCTCGCCCCCTAGTCTTTCAAACTAGAGTAATCTATCAACAGTTATGCAATCTGTCCCTTTCATGATTTTATAAATCTCTAAAACAAATACTCATAACTCCTTCAACCTATCTGAGTAGCGAAATTTTATTAAAGCCATGAATCATTCTTGTAGCTCTTGTATAACCCCTTCATAAGTCTCTATATTCCTTGTCGTGTAACCAGACCAAGTAAATGCTCATTTTCATGTCATTGGCCATACCCCTCATTCACCCCCACCCCCCACAATAATCTATTTGCTTTCTCCGTGGGGGTACTAATCCCCCAGGGTTGTCCTGACATCTCTAGGAATCAATGCAGATTACTGCTATGAGCAGCTCAGGAGAAAAACCATAGGGGCAATTAAAGTTGGGATCTAAAAAAGAAATATGTTTGAATGTTGTTGTTTCACTACTTTGATAAGTGTTGGAAACAGGAAGAGACTGCTTGATTGAAGGACAAAAAAATCTGTCAATGCATTGGATACTGAAGTATCTATTTACATTCTGGGGTTTAGTTACACTTGGTTATCAAGATGGCTTGCGTGTGTTGTAGAATATTGAGAAAATCATAGTTCAATCTCTGTAATGGCTGTGGTAGTTCCTGAGGTTTTCTCCCTTGTCCTTTGCACATGAGCCATGCTTAGCAAACCTTGATCAATGAGGATGGTATAGAGAGAGAGAAAAATTCCTGTTCTGTTTGAAATTGGAAAGCAATACACCATGACTATGGACAGGTAGGGTGACCAATGGTGAGTGTGGATTGGGCTGGAGATAGGAGATCATAACATGAAAACTTGAGGAATATATCCAAAAAGGTGACAACTCCATTCCTCCCCAGTACTTGAGTAAGGTGTGGAGTGCTTCCCTTGTAAAATTGGTGGTGCCAAATTAAATGACAGTGTAGTACAGCACATTAATGTAGAGAAATTACAGAGATTTGTTAACACAGCCCAATCCATCATGTAAATCAGCTTTCCACCCATTGACTTTGTCTATGCTTTCTGCTGCTTCGGAAAAACAACCAACATAACCAAAGACCCCTCCCAACCCGCTAATACTCTCTTCCAACCTCATCCATCAGACAGAAAATACAGAAGGTTGAAAACACATACCAACAGATTCAAGAACAGCTTCTTCCCTCCTGTTATCAGACTTGAATGGATCTCTTGATCTTTCTCTGCATATTCTCTGTAACTGTAACACTATATTCTCCATCTGTCCTATTACCCTGATATACTAATGTAAGGTATGATTTGCCCTTTTAGCACACAAAACAATACTTTTCATTGTATCTGAGTACATGTGACAATAATAAATCATATCAAATCATGACATGACTCTTTAAAACACACTTCTTGGTCCAGACTTTTGACCAATATATATGTAAACATATGAATTAGGGGTAGACATTAACCCCAAGACATGCTCTGCCATTCAATAAGATTATGGTTGATCTGATTACCCTACACCCTCACCTACACACAATAGGTTTTCACCCCCTTGCTTATCAAGAATCTAACCAACTGTCCTATGGCTTTTTCACAGGCTTGGTGTTCATATTAATTTTATAACTATTCGGAGAAGCAAGTTGGGATGTTTTGTTCATATTAATGATACTACAAAAATGCAAGTTGTTGTTGTTTTGAAAGTCACCAATGCAGTATTCAATTCTATTATGTGTGTAAGTTGATGCATGAGGAAGTAATTGGAAGTAATTTTCCAGATGATATCTGACAGAGTTGTTTCTTAATTTACTCGTGGGATGTGGGCATCGTTGGCTGGCCAGCATTCTATTGCCCATCCCTAGGTGCCCTTGAGAAGGTAGTGGTGAACCACCTTCTTCCACTGCTGCTGCTGCCCACCGTTTGCAAATATATGAACTTTGTATTCCAACATGAACGAATATTCTATCATTTAAGAAACATCACCATGATTTTATTGCTACACTGTATAGTCTCATACATCTCTCAACGCTTCTCCTTCTGTTCATCAGCTGGAAAAGAATACAGCGACCACCACATGGACAAGCAGCTGTGATGACTCTTGCAACACGGTATCCTCTGGCTGTTCATCCAGTAGCAGTTCATCAACCTGTGTCCAGGAGTGCTGCATAGCCACAACGAATTCTTGTCTGAAATTAAATGGGGAAGAAAATTTGATTGGATCTGCAAGTACAACAGAGTCCGTGAAGATAATGGTTTATACAATTGCTGCCTTTATTTTGACTAATCACTTTGCACTCTTTACTTTTTAAATGCAGGAGCCAAGGATTCACACCAGACTTTGAATGTTCAGTTCTGTCAATTTTCATTCCGACATCAGCGTACAACTGCATAAGCCTTTTCATGTCAGTATTCAATCTGAGGAGATCTTTTAAAGAGACCAATTACACTTAATGAAGTTGAAGTCATCATTAATTCTGCATCCACCAATTGAATCTCAGGATAGAAGGTGGCTTAAAGGGATGCTGAAATGGGGGAATAGCTCTCTCTCCTCCTCTCTGTGTATCGTCACTAACAAGATCAAAGATTTCAAATAAACACATCACTGAGAAAAGGCAGAAACAAAGCAATTTTTATTTTGTAGTTGAAGAATCAAAATGTAAAAGTGTCCCCAAATACCTTACAGCTGTAGACACCACAAATCTGATGTAGAACTTCACATCAGTGAGCAGTAAAGCCACAAATGACGGAGGATGGATATTTACCTTCAATAGATGCATTGTCTCCAAGGAAGTACATAGAAAATGATTAACATATCCATCCTGGCAGTGTAGAAAAATTAAATCATTTTCTTCAATGTTTAAGTCCATTCTAACAAACAATAATGCCTTGGATTTCTCAATTTGCAACATAGAATGACTGGGAAAATGGGCACTGTCTTCCAGCTGATCTGAAATAGATATAAATCAAACATAGGCCAAATCCAAGAGAGAAGTCAGTGTTTTTAACATTGAAATTAATATCAATAGTTTGCAATCTCAAATGCATTTGGTGTGATACGAAATTTGTTCCCTCATAAATTCTCATCTCCACAGCTCTGCATCAGAGAATACTTGATGAACTGTACAGAAAAGGCTTATGCAGTGTATATACCAGTTCTAAATAGACATAAATCATTGTAATGTGAAGTGAAACATCTAGTTAAAAGGTCTGTTCAGTGCAGTGAGTTTGCAGTGTTGAAATCTTCGTTGGTTATTGTAAATAACAACAATCTTTATGATTAAACACGTTGCTCATATAGCAGGAAAAGATCTTCTAGGCTTTGCCTTTCATTACGTAAATACAGGACGGGGCAGGAAATATAAAAGTGATATATTGTGACTACATTATCCTCTGAGGAACCCTGCTTTGCCACTTAGTGGACCAGCAACTAAGATTCTGAAAGCTAATATTTTTGGATCCAGCAGAACTAAGTGAAAGGGTTCTTCAGAGGTGAATGCAGTTCCTTTTGTTGTAAGGCGACTAACATCCAGGGTGGTGCTCCAGTTGTAACTCAATGGGAATCACTCTTCCATTTAAAGGAAAAAGAGTATGGGTCAAAATCTCATTCCACGAAGATCTAAGTGAACACTTCAGATCAGCAGTTGACATTCTGATTACAGATTTCTACTCTCCTAATGGGATATAAAAGATCACTTTGAAGAGGAGCAAGGGAATTCTCCCTGATCTCTCGGGCAATATTTAACTCTTGAGGAACATCACAAAAAATAAAGTATCTAGTTACTGTCACTTTTCTGTTTGTGAGAGCTTACTATCTACAAAGTAGTCACCACAGTTCTGACAATAGTGATATCACTTCAAAAGTACTTCATTAGTTATGGAGCGCTTCAGGACCTCTTGAGGTTACAAAAGGCACTACATAAATGCAAGTCTTTACCATCTGAGCTCAAAGCAAAAAACAAAACATGAATGAAAATTTTACAATTATAGAAACTGGAACAAATAGTTGGGTTAATTTTTTTCTGTAAAAATGTGCATAGAAATACATAGAAGTTGTCAAATGGATGCATGCCATTCAATCCATCTATTCAGCATTTATCCTTCATGTATGTGAGTAAATAATTCTAAATAGATTTACCTACTTTGTTCTCACATCCCTTCAAGCACTTGTCCATCATCAATCTATGTAATTGAATTCTTCGTGTCTGTGTAGTTTCTGCTCCAATTAATTAACTGTGGTTATGAATTTCACAGAAAATACAAGAGATGTAACCATGTAGTTATAACAGCATCAGAAGCTCTTACAGCTTTATTTAGCCTTCTGTTAATCCACAAATATTCAAAGAAAGCAATCTATTCATTTTAAAAAAGCATAAGAAAAACAGATTATAATCCACTTCTATTCTACCTTTACAGCAGCAATGATCTTCTCAGTTCAAATGTTTCCCAAGATCATTGACGGAATGATTTGATCAGTGCAGCTTTTTTGTTTACTGTCCTTACCCTTAAAAGTTTCTGCTTCTACCTGCTATTGCCTTTGACATTCAATCTGTGCACACTCACTCCTGGACAGACCTTTTAAGAAATGTCTGAGCAAAGTTGAATGTATTTTTGAACGGTTGTAGCTGCTGTCGTATCTCCTGCCAGCCCTGTCATTGCAGAGCACCGTTGTGAATTTGAATTCTGGCAAGGGCTGGTCACCTGCTTCTATGTGAATATGCAGTTTAAACCCATGTATTGTGACGTTCGCTTCAAGCATAAAATATTTGTTTGACTGGACTTTAATAAAATTAAAACAGAATTATATTTGTATAATGTTAGAGTAATCTATGGAATATGAACAAAGAGTCTAAGATGGGTTATATTTCTCTTTTAATGAAAACAGAGAGTCTGCTTTTCTCCAGAAACAATCATATTATATTCCCAGAAACTTCACGTTTTTGTGATTTCGTTTCTGTTTGTTAATTACGAGGAACTGCAGATATTCTCCTGTTATTGTTAAAAGAAAATAACACCATGCGTAGAGGATTAACTGAAAGCTGCAGGAGGTATTGCTATGAGCGTTACAAGCATTCAACCATTTTATTGTTTCCACTGTGAGAGGCTCAGTACCAAGTAAGTACATTTAAAAGTAGGTGTGCATTCAGTTTGAAAAGTGTTTTTCTCAACCTCCCCTTCCTTGATGGTTGTTCTTATAAAGGCTGCTCACTCAGAGCTGGCCTACTCTGTGACCCTGATCTTACTAAGACAGTGCCCACAATAAAGAAGTCAATCTTGCTTCAGTTGGGTGTACTGGAATATTCCATTAAAGTCAGACCTAATGGATTACCAATTCTAATTAAAATTTTATTTAACCTTCTACTGATAAATTAGTTAAACATCCTGACTTGTGATGATGGTCATTGTGCGGTAGAATGAAATCTCATATTCTAGCTTAAAACTTAAAAGTTATTGATCTAATGAAATAACCAGAAAACTAATGTTTATTCCTGATTCATTACAGGTATTTTTCTTTTTAGATAGAGAACATTTTGGGATATATGGCCAGAAATGAATTTAGACAGCTTCTCCTCTCAAGTAAATTTGCTAATTTTCTGATTATGATAAGAATGATCTCCAGGCTAAAGTTGTTTAGCTTCACATCACAGTACCTTATGTGTCACTATTAACAGCATAACATGACTCATGTACCACTAGGGAGAAGAAGTTGAGGACATTTTGAAAGCAGGAAAATGCAGTGACAACTAAATTCAGTACTTATTAGGTGTCTTTTTTTTAAAGGCCTCCTGTCATTTGAGTTTTGATGTTAATACGGGAAGAGAAATTCACAATATCCATATGGCATTAAAGTGGCTAATACTCCTCTCCATAGTTTGTTAAAGGGTATTTTTTAATTAGCTTCTAATGAAATCACAGTTGAACATTGCTTTACTTACTCTGGTTGCACTTGTTTAACTGTGTTATTGTTAGGATTATGTCCTTCTATTCTGTTTCAGGTAATGACTATCAGATGTACGACTCTGTGTGGCATCTATGTATTATCAAACAAGCTTTAATAAAATTATATTCAAACACAAATGCTCAGCTATTTAACTTACATGCATTGAAAGTACAGAATTTGTAAAATATTTTCTTATTCAAAGAAACAAAATGCATTTATTTTGTGAAGTCATATATACATTTTCCATGGGCTTCACTGTGCCTTTTGAGTGATTTTTGTTATTTTAAATGCAGTCATATATTTTAAATGCTTGCTGCTTGTTGTTGTCTTCTCAGCATTTTTACTGGCTTAATAAATGTTATTGACAATATTGATAATGATAGGTTAGATACTTTTTATGCAGAAAACTGTTTTAAAATACCATATTTAATGGCTAGCTATTTTTCACTTGTGAAAAGAACACTGTTTGGCTGCACCGTGGAAGGAGATATATGAGTTAGCTCCCAGACATAAATAAAAATACAGAGCACTGGAATAGCAGATTGCAGCATGATTATCTGATGACTTACACTAAACTGTGTACTACCTGTTGCATAAGAGAGGAATCATTTCTAAACTTCTAGAGTGCCAAATCTTCCCTGGAGCTAACTTTATAACTTTTATCAAAAAGCAACACAAGTAATGTCTCCTATTCTCAAGGCACATGAATGTAGCAAAACTGAAGAACAAATGATTAGCCTGTCACTGATTGCATCAAGAGAAAATTCAACCCAGATTTTCTTTTTATTGGATCATGTAACATGGAATTAGATAGACCCACTATAGGTGGAATCTTGTGGTATGATGATAGTGTCCCTACCTCTGAGCTACAAAACCCAGGTTTAAATCCCACCTGTTCCAGAGATGTGTCCCAACGTATCTGAACAGGTTGATTAAAAATATCCAGATCTACTAAAAGCAATGTACATTGTTTCTTGTCACTCCTTTAGACTGCTCTTGACTATTAGCATGTTACCGTAATGAGTGATTAGAGTAACTAAGTAGTAATTAGTTTGTGAATTCTACATTCTAGAATGGGATCTGTTTAGAAGGTTCTTTAAGGACCATCAGGGAGGTTGTAATTTTTGACTGTCTGCCCTTTTTTCATGTTTCCGTGTGTGCCTGGATGTCCTTGGAGAGGGTGCACACAGTGTCTGACAGCACTTTTGAAGATTTTAGAGGCCATCGGGAGCTAGGGGTGGGGAGGTGCTCAACTGCATTACGTTCCTCATCCAATGTCTTAAGTTTATCATCCAGTTTTCTTTTTAGTTACAGTGTCCTAATGGGCTGTTTAAGTTCTTTTTAGTTTTGTTCAATTTGTTTTTCGGTTTTGAGAAAAGAGTGCAAGTTCCCTTGGACTTGGTTAAGACACTTAGTTTTCACTGGACTTAGGGAGATATGTGTTTCAAAGTTTATTTGTGCTCATGTTGCACTGATGGAGACCCATGGCTGAGGGAAGACCAGTGAGAAAATGATATCCTGGTCAAGACGCTGGAGAGATTTGACATTAGAGGACATACCGTTCAGGATTATTACTTATAGTAATTTTGATTAATGCATGGTTAGAAATGAAACTCATCACTTTTGGAAGAGAGAATAAAGCAATAATTTTCTTTTTAAAGAAGCCAAAAGGATGAAAAAAAAGAAAAGCCCATTTCATCAGGTCTAGCAGAAAGGTTTAAAAGGTGACAAAGTCCACTGAGGAAATTTATTAAAGGACAACACCAAAACACTGGTTAAAATAGCCACATACACAACAGAAAACATTGTGTTTGTCCTAGTCATCCGAGCCAGGGTACATTAGCCAACAAAATAAAAGTTCTTGCAAACATTGACTTAGAGCCTTCACAAATCACAGAATGATACAACAATGGCTATCCAGACCATTATACATCTGTCACCGCCATGAAAAAGCTATCCATTCAATCATATTTTCTGTTCTTTCCATATAGCCCACCATTGTTTTTCCTTCATCCAATCACCCTTTTTCTGCATTTGGGATCAGAACAGCATACTGTGCAACAAAAAAAACTTCTTTGTTGCCTTGTGGTTCTTTTCTCATTCACCCGAAATCTGTTCCCTCCAGTTATCAACCGTTCTGCCACTGTCAACAGTTTCTTCATTTTTAACTATCAAAACCATTCAATAAATTTGAGCACTTCCATTAAATCTTCCTTTCAGCTTCTCTACTGTAAAAAGGACAACACCAGCTTCTCCTTACACAAAAAACAGAAGTTGCTGGAGAATCTCAACAGGTCTGGCAGCAACTGTGGTGAGAAAGAATCAACATTTTGAATCATGTAACTTTATCAGAACCAGACTCGAAATGTTAACTCTGCTCTCTTGCCACAGATGTTGCCAGACCTGTTGAGTTTCTCCAGCAATTTCTGTTTTTGTTTCAGATCTCCAGCTGTTTTATTCGTACCAGCTTCTCCTCTCTATCCACTTGACAGAAGTTTTACATTCCTGAGAGGCAAACTGTGTCATGCATCGAGTATTTATTGACCTTAAGGGACATACTTTTGTTGATTAAAATGTAGTGACTAACAGCTGTGTTTATGTGTTTCTTGACTGTATGATGTACATTAGCTTATGGCTTATTAAACCTGGTCTTATGTTTGAAGGAAATTGTGCCAAATCTCTCCACTGAGATTATGTTCTTGCTGGTTCCAAATTAACCTTTGTAGATTTTAGTAGAAGCAAAATGGTCACTTTTGATTTGGTTGCTCTGCACTGTTGCCTTGTTATCATCAATGTTACTTTAGGAAGTCTGTAAAGTATCCAGCTAATAAGTTATGGCAGAAGGAATATTCTATTTAGAGGACAACACACAATTTTGAAATCCCCAGCCTTGTTTTCAAATTCATCCATAGCCTTGTCCTCCCTACCTCTGTGACCCTTTTCAGTCTACAGAAGTTTGAAATCTCTGTGTTCCTCCAATTCTAGTATCTTGTAGTTGATCACTGGTAGCCCTGCTTTTAGCTGCCTGAAACTGTAGCCCTGAAATTCCTTTCCAAAACCTTTGCCTTTCTTAAACTCTTAGAAGCCCTTCTCATGATCAAACTTTCTTCACTTGTCCTAATATAGCTTTGTACCTTTTTATTGATGATGTTCAGCATAATGGAACAGATTACTGCCTTGTAGGAAGTTATATAAATGTACATTATTGTTACTATCTGTGCATGCTATTAAAGCAGTACTGTTCGATTCACATTGTATTGATATTTCATCTTATTACTGTTATTGTTGTCTT